TCCTCCTCCTCCTCCTCTTTCTCCTCCTCCGCCTCCACCCCGTCCTCGCCCTGGGCTCTCGCGGCTGGACCGCTCCCCCCTGCGTCCAGACCCAGGGGAACAGGGTAGGGGGACACAGTCTTCCGCAAAAGGGTCACAATGGGGATTGTAACAAGAACCCCCGTAAACTGCCTAAGCCTATTGGGCAGGTGGGATGCGTTTATTGTGGGAAGGAGAGGGCACGAGGGGTGTGGCAACAGGAGTGGGGAGAGCAGCATCGGGGGGGGGGATCAGAGCGGGAGGGGAGGGCCCCCGCTGCGGAGTCGTCCTCCTGCGCCCGCCAATGCCTCAGCGGCTAGCCGCTTCCGCCGAGAGTTTCAAGCCCATGCTCACGCGTGCCCCCCCCCCCCCCCCCTCCCCCCCCCCCCCCCACCCCCCCCCCCTGGTACCGCCTTTGGGGCCCGGACCCCAGCAGTGCTGAACCAGGTTGGAAAGCTTGGGGGCCTCTCGCAATCCCGGGGAAGGAGAGGGCACGAGGGGTGTGGCAACAGGAGTGGGGAGAGCAGCATCGGGGGGGGGGATCAGAGCGGGAGGGGAGGGCCCCCGCTGCGGAGTCGTCCTCCTGCGCCCGCCAATGCCTCAGCGGCTAGCCGCTTCCGCCGAGAGTTTCAAGCCCATGCTCACGCGTGCCCCCCCCCCCCCCCCCTCCCCCCCCCCCCCCCACCCCCCCCCCCTGGTACCGCCTTTGGGGCCCGGACCCCAGCAGTGCTGAACCAGGTTGGAAAGCTTGGGGGCCTCTCGCAATCCCGGGGGCCTGGCCAGAATTGCATCCGGAATTGCAGCTGGAGTTGCAGCAGGGATTGCAAACAGAATTGCAACCAGAATCGTCGCCAGCGCTCGAGCGTGAGCCCAAGTCAGCGAAGTGGCGGAGTGGTTTTTGCCTTGAAATTCCACCTGAAATGCGCATCCCACCAGGCCTTCCGAGAATCGGGGGAGCTTCCGACGGACTGTTTGAAACCGTTTCTCTGAACAGCGCGGTGGCGTTTCCCTTGCCAGCCTTCGGTGACCGTCTGGGCCCACCAGGCGCCTGCTCGAGGTCACGTGCAATTTTGCACCGACGCGCAAATCGGAACTAGGCTGGAGTCAAAATTGTGTACGTATCATGGTTGCCCGCGGCGGAAATGTGGGCAGTCTAATTTGTATGTGTGCGCGTTGCATGGGCAGGGCGTTCGACTCGAGAGTTCCTGTCGGAGCGCCTTGGGGGCCCCATAGGCTCATCTGTGCCGTGTGGTAGTCCTTCTTGGACGATTTGGAGTCCATTTGGGGCTATCTTGGCCGACTCTGAGGCCATCTTGGGCCGTCTTGGGGCCGTCTCAAGGGACCATCCCGAGGACCTCTTGGGCCGCCTTGGGGGGCCACCGGGCAGGCCGTCTGGGCCGTCTGAGGTCCACCGCGGTGGCGCACGGAGGGCAGCCCCGCCGTCTTTTGGGGGGGGGAGCGGTCGGCGCGCCGGCCCGCGTCGCGCGGCGACCGCGCCGCACGGCGACCCAGCGCGGGGCGCTCCCTCAGCGGGCCCCCGGAAGCCGACGGCGCCGTCTCCTGCAGCTCTGCGTTGCCGGCTCCGACGCCGCGCCGTTGTTTGACCAGTTCGGGCTCTGGCTCCAATCCTGAGGCCGACTTTGTTGCCGTTTCCGGTCGCCCTGTTCTGACCGCTTCCATGTTCAAGAGGCGTTTTTTTGGGGAAATGGGTCGAAAAACGGCCCTGCCGTTTCTGGGGCCCGCTGGGGGCGCTCCGATTTCCAGCCCACCCCAAAACAAGAGTCCAACTTCCCAGGGTTTGGGCTGGAAGCTCCGGAGACGATGGGGGATCGCGCCCCAGCATCTATCTTTGTTTGTCTCTCTATGTCACCGTGCTGTTTCTTATGAGTCTCTCTCTCTCTCTCTATTTCTCTCTCTCTCTCTCTCTATTTCTCTCTCTCTCTCTCTCTGTCCCTGGCTCTCGCTGTCTCTCTCTCTCTCTCTCTCTCCCTCTTTCTCCCTCCTATCCTTTCCCATGGTTGTTGTTGTTGTTTCTCTCTCTCTCTCTCTCTCTCTCTCTCTCTTCATATATATGTATAGGAAAGAGCATGTTCTACCGCTGCTGGCGGAAAACCGGGGGGGGTCACTACCGGTTCGAACCCCTCCCCCCCCCCCTCCAGAAAACCCGGGGGGGTTACTACCGGTTCGAACCCTCACCCCCCCCCCAGTTCATCATGAAAAGGGTGGGGGGGGTCACTACGGTTCGAAACCCCCCCCCCCCCTCGAAACGCGGGGGTCACTACCGGTTCGAGCCCCCCCCCCCCCTCGAAAACCGAGGGGGGGTGCGGACAGTGGTGGGGGCGGTGTTGGTGGGGACAGTGGCGAGGGGACAGCGGGACAGTGGTGGGGACAGTGGGACAGTGGGACAGTGGTGGGGACGGTAGTGGTGGGGACAGTGGTGGGGACAATGGTGGGAACGGCGGGGACAGTGGACAGTGGTGGGGACGGTGGTGGTGGGTACAGTGGTGTGGGGACAGTGGGAATGAGGTGGAAACAGTGGGACAGTGGAGGGTACAATGGTGGTGGGGACAGCGTTGAAGGCGGTGGCGAGGACGGCGGTGGGACAATGGGACAGAGGTACAGTGGGGACAGTGGTGGGGACAGTGGGGACAGTGGTGGGAACAGTGGGACAGCTCAGTGGGACAGCGGAGGAGTCAGTGGGACAGAGGGGACAGTGGGGATAGGCAGTGGTTGGGTCCGTGGAGACAGTGGGGAGAGTGGAACCGTGGTGGGAACAGTTGTGGGAACAGTGGGGACAGTGCGACAGTGGTGGGGGCACTGGTGGGGACAATAGGGACGGTGGTGGAACCAGCGGGGGCAGCGGTGGTGAGGACAGTGGTGCTGGGAACAACAGTGGGGGACGTGGTAGGGACCGGGAGTCGTTTGCTGGCGGCGACCGGCCCGGTGAAGGAGGGGGAGGGGTTCGAACTGGTAGTGACCCCCCTGGTTTTCGAGGGGGGGGTCGAACCGGTAGTGACCCCCCCGGTTTTCCAGATCCGGAGAGGGGGGGGAGGGTTCGAACGCGGAGCTGACCCCCCCTGGTTTTCGAGGGGGAAGGGGGGGGGGGGACGGGGTTAGGGGGGGGGGGGTTCCGGGGGGAGGGGGGGGGAGGGCGGAGGGGGGGGGGACTTCAGCAGGGGGGGGAGGGGGGGATTTTCGGGAGGGGGGGGGAGGGGGGGGGCGACCCGGGCTCCGGAGAAAAGGCTGGCAATTTTCCACAGTAACAGCGTCGGTGAAATCAGTCCCGCGGGACGCGGGGATATATAAATTATAATTGTAACAGTGTTATTATATGGTGTTTCTCCTCCTCTCTCTCTCTCTCTTTCTCTCTTTCTCTCTCTTTCTCTCTCTCCCCCCCCCGTCTCTCGCTCTCTCTCTCTCTCTCTTTTTCTCCTGTCCTTTTCCTCTCTGTTTTTCTCTCTCTCTCTCTCTTTCTCTCTTTCTCTCTCTCTCTCTCTCTCTTTCTCTGTTTCTCTCTCTCTCTCTCTCCGTCTCTCTCGTTTCCTCTGTCTCCTCCGTCTCTCTGCCCAAGGCCGCGGAGGCCCCCAGAGGTCCCCGACGCCTGCGGATGTCCTTGGCATCCGTGGAGGGCTCCAGAGATGGAGTGTGGGACGGAGAGGGGTGGAAAGGGAGGAGGAGGAGGAGGTGGAGGAGGGAGGAGGAAGGGAGGAGAAGACAACGGAGGAGCAGTAGGAGGAGGGGGAGGAGGAGGAGGAGGAGGAGGAGGAGGAGGAGGAGGGAGGAGGAGGAGGAGGAGGAGGGGGAGGAGGAGAAGGAGGAGGAGAGGAGGAGGAGGAGGAGGAGGAGGAGAAGGAGCAGGACGAGGGAGGACGAGGAGGAGGAAGCAATGCGAGGAGAAGCAAGACCAGGAGTACGAGTCCGACCGGCGGCACCAGTTTTTGTTCAGTTTGGGGCCCCTGCAACTCCCGACCCCTTATTAGGGCTGGTGCTCCATCCTGAGCCGTTTATTGATAGCCCCGGGGCCAGGAAACGGCCCCCTGTCGCCAGAGATGTGGACAAACTATGTGCTCGCGTCTTCCAAGGTGTTGGAGTTCCCGGGAGGAGGGGTAGCATGGGCAGGGAGGATGGAGCACACGCAAGCACGGAGTCAGGCGCGAGGCTTGGCGGCGGGCCCCGCTTCCACGCAGAATCGACGCGCTGCGTTGCCGAATCGGGCGGTACTGGCTTCATGCTCGGGATGTGGTTCCCCCCCCGTTCCGTGGATCTGGCGCCCTCGCGTGTGTCTCCTCCTCCTCCTCCTCCTCCTCCTCCTCCTCCTCCTCCTGCTCCTCATTGTCCTCCTTCCTCCTCCTCCTCCTCCTCCTCCTCCTGCTCCTCATTGTCCTCCTTCCTCCTCCTCCTCCTCCTCCTCCTCCTCCTTCTCCTCCTCCTCCTCCTCCTCATCCTCCTCTTCAGAGTCAGAAGGGGCGTTACCCCCCCCCCCAGAACAATATCAAGAATGCCGAGAAGAAGGCCGAGCCCGCGGGCAACGGCGGCATCTCGGAGGAGGAGTTCAACAGGAGGTTGGAGGAGATGCGGAAGAGGCGCGCTGGCGGTGGGGGGAGCCCCGACTCTCCAGAGAGCGGATGCGTCGGATTCCCAGAGATGGACACCTACACCAGCATCGGCGGCTGTTTCACTGAGAGACTGCCCACGACCTTGGTAGTGGTGGTCAGATTCAGGCTCCTTGGGTGCTCGGGATGGTACCGCCAGCGCCAAAAGCGAAAATGCTTCTTCCTCTGTGGAGGCAACCCGCTGTGATCGCTCTTCAAGGAAGAGCGAGAAGGATCGAGAATTCAGGCTCGAGGCTCGGGGAGCGAGGCCTTTGGGCTCTAGCCGTCGTGGTGCCTCCAGAGGCCTCCGCAGACGGAGGCGTGCGCCCCTCCCCCCCCCCTTGGCAGCCCTCCCTAGGCGCCTCCGCAGCCCTCAGGGGGGGCGGACTGCAGGAGGCGCTGCAGGAGGGGCGGATGGAGCCCGCTTCCCTCCCCCCGCCGAGAGATGCCCGCTGCCTTCTCAGAAGGCCACATTTCCACCTCCCTCACTGAGAAAGTATCCTGGTGTATCCTGAGGGCCCCTGAGGAGACCTGGGAAGCCAGAGGAACCCATGGTTTGGTGTTTGGCGTTTGCTGTTCGGTGTTTTGTTCCCCACATGCTTAGTGGGGTTCGGGTTTTCTTCCCTGCCGCGTCGCACCCGCGTCTCACCTCACACCTCCCCTCCTCCTCACAGCATTGCTCAGCACAGCTCAGCTCAGTTCAGCTCAGCACGGCACAGCTTAGCACAGCTCAGCTCAGCTCAGCTCAGCACAGCACAGCACAGCACAGCACAGCTCACCGCAGCACAGCACAGCACAGCACAGCACAGCACAGCACACAGCACAGCACAGCACAGCTCAGCACAGCACAGCGCAGCTCAGCTCAGCTCAGCACAGCACAGCACAGCACAGCACAGCACAGCAAAGCTCAGCGCGGCACAGCACAGCACAGCACAGCACACAACACAGCACAGCACAGCACAGGCGTGGCACAGGCGTGGCACGCATGGCAGTTCCTCGACACCACAGGGGGGGAGCTGTGGGTGGGGACGCTATCATTTTCGGGCTCGCAAAGCGTGGCAGGCGGGGCACTTCCTCGACACCACAGGGGGGAGCTGTGGGTGGGGACGCTATCCGTTGCGGGCTCGCAAAGCGTGGCAGGCGTGGCACTTCCTCGACACCACAGGGGGGGAGCTGTGGGTGGGGACGCTATCCGTTTCGGGCGGACGCTATCCGTTTCGGGCTCGCAAAGCGTGGCAGGCGCGGCACTTCCTCGACACCACAGGGGGGAACTGTGGGTGGGGACGCTATCCGTTTCGGGCTCGCAAAGCGTGGCAGGCGTGGCACTTCCTCGACACCACAGGGGGGGAGCTGTGGGTGGGGACGCTATCCGTTTCGGGCTGGCGTGGGCACTTCCTCGGCACCACTGGGGGGGAGCTGTGGGTGGGGACGCTATCCGCTTCGGGCTCGCAAAGCGTGGCAGGCGTGGCACTTCCTCGACACCACAGGGGGGGAGCTGTGGGTGGGGACGCTAGCCGTTTCGGGCTCGCAAAGCGTGGCAGGCGTGGCACTTCCTCGACACCACAGGGGGCGCGTGGGGGTGGTCTCCCTATCCGTTGCGGGCTCGCACAGCGTGGCAAGCGTGGCACGTCCTCGGCCCCACAAAGGGGTGCGCTGGGGGTGGTCACCCTATCCGTGACGGGCTCGCAAAGCGTGGCAGGCGTGGCACTTCCTCGGCACCACAGGGAGTGCGCTGGGGGTGGTCTCCCTATCCGTGACGGGCTCGCAAAGCGTGGCAGGCGTGGCATCTCCTCGACACCACAGGGGGTGCGCTGGGGATGGTCTCCTTATCCGCTGCGAGCTCGCAAAGCGTGGCAGGCGTGGCACTTCCCCGACACCACAGGGGATGCGCTGGGGTTGGTCTCCCTATCCTTGACGGGCCCGCAAAGCGTGGCAGGCGTTGCACTTCATCGACACCACAGGGGGTGCGCTGAGGGTGGTATCTTTATCCGTTTCGGGCTCGCAAAGCGTGGCAGGCGTGGCACTTCCTCGACACCACAGGGGGGCGCTGGGGGTGGTTTCCCTATCCGTTGCGGGCTCGCAAAGCGTGGCAGGCGTGGCACTTCCTCGACACCACAGGGAGTGCGCTGGGGGTGGTATCCTTATCCGTTGCGGGCTCGCAAAGCGTGGCAGGCGTGGCACTTCCTCGACACGACAGGGGGTGCGCTGGGGGTGGTCTCCCTATCCGGTGCGGGCTCGCAAAGCGTGGCAAGCAATATGGCGTTGGATGACACATAGGGAAACATTCGCGACGAGGGCTCAGAACGCAGGATTGCGCATATATTAAAACATAAGCAAGCACATCCGATTTAAATTAAGTATGTGGGGTTCTTCGGTAGCGTAATTTTGTGCAGGTCGCAGGGCAGAGTACCTGAAAGGGTCGCACCCAGAGAACCACCTCTTCGAAGGCCACCCGGAGAGCCAGCCTTCTGCCAGTAGAACCAGCCCTTTACCCAGAGAGCCATTTGTCCTCCTCGCTCCGGTCCCCATTCGCCCTCCGTCGGGGATAAGGTCTGGGAAGGTGTGTGTGGGTGGGGGTGGGGCACGCGGCGGGTGGCGCCTTCCCGCTCTCCAGGATCGAGGCCGAGATGAGGTCGGCCTCTCTGAAGATGGAGGCCGAGCGCGACGATGCCGCGCTAAAGGAACTGGAGAAGAAGCTGAGGGAGGCCGAAGTCGACAAGAAGAAGTTCCAGCGGAGGATCGAGGAGCTGGAGAAGCTCCTGAACCAGACGCCGGAGGGGAGGGAGTTCCTGGCGAAGTTTGGCCATGAGCTCAAGGTTCTGAAGCAGCGGGACGTGTACGCGAGGCTCTACACCGACGCCGTGGCCAGGATGCAACGCATGCAGGAGCGCCCCTGCTGCTCTCCTACTGGCGGTCAGGTGCGCTGACGTTGGCGCCGCCCTGTGCGCCATCTGACCCCGCCACTCTTAGTGGGATCACCTCCCCCTGCGTGGGATGTTTGACGCCTCTCGCACCCTCACTGGCCCATCGCGAAACGATTCATGGGCGAGTTGAGCTGTCGTGGGAAGGGGCGTCCCAGACATCTGCTTGCTCGACTGTTGTCCAAGGTGTTGGACTCCAGAGCTCTCCACTCCGAAGGGGGGTGCTGGCATTTTCTCTTGAGCAGCTCTCGGATGGCCCCAGATCATGCTACAGTGGAAACCCATGCCAAGAACTACCCTGCTTGCCCTGGGTTTCTTGGGTTTCGATGGTTTTGCTGTGGAGTTGCTATAGAAACGCATTAAATATCAATGGACGTGCCTGGGTCGCAGGGTTTGGTTTCTGGTGGAAGGTTTCTTTTGGTCGAGCTCCTACTGTACTGGCGTCCAGAGTTCCAAGACTGCCTGAAGCCTGGCTGTCCAGACTATGTTGAGCCGACAGATGCCTGGGGCGGAGACTTATTTTCGTCCGGTAGCAGATCACGAGAGACTTGTATACCCTCGCAAGTTTGTCTTCAGAGCGCACTCGCGTCGTTTAGATTATGGTAGCTAGTCAAAGAGATCGCGCCGATTTAGCGCACATGAGCGCCGATGTAGCGTCGAGTAGCGTCGATTTAGCGTCGACTAGCGCCTACGAGAGCCGTTCCGCAAGAGCCAACGATGTGAGATGGGAGGCCCTCACGAGCCTCCACCGAACCCTCGAGGCGAAGGCCCAGATGGTCACTTCGGGCCATCTGAGGGCCATCTCGGGCGGAGGCCGGGGCGCCTCGCGCGGTTTCAGGCCCCGGGACCTCGCCGAAGTCTTTCGGCCGCCAGGTGACCCCCCCCCCCCGGGCCCCCTGGGAGAGCCAGAGGAAGGTCCAGGGTCGCCAGGATATGGTTGTAAGGTCTCGGGGGTCTTCGTCTTCGTATCAGGGTCCCTGGACCTGGGTCATTCTCCCATCCTCCTCCGCCTCCTCCTCCTCAAGCCCCCCCTGGGCCCTCGATCCCATCTCCGGGGCCCAGTTTTGCGTCCTGGGCAGTTGCTCGATGAGTCCAGCGGCCTGGCACAGGCTTCCAGATGCCCAAGGCTCAGAGAACTTGGCCACACGTAAGAGTAACCCTTCGTCAGAATGACCTCTGGGTGTTGGCCCAAAGGGGCTCGGATAGGTTTTCTGTGGCAGTACGTTCGACTTTGCATCTGCGCACGCAGCGTAGGGTTGCGCTCGCATGTGAGCGCGCCTGGTTTGGGTCCTCTGCTCGCAACCGAGTGCAGCACATACGCCGCGCACCCTGCGGCGCGCGTTGGTTTCCCGAGGTGGGTTCAAGTTGACCGGGTCGCATGATTTCATCCCCGAACCAGTTTCGAATCGGCTTCCGCGTGTCCGACATCGTCGGTTGCGAATTGGTATCGGAATTATCTTAATGTAGGGTCCTACATCGCCTTCAATCCATCTTCAATTCAGCGATTTACTACTGAAGTTATTCGCTCCCATGGGGTAGCCCATTTGAGGGCGTAGAAACGTCCGCGACGACGGACCTGGTCAGACGTCATCGCGATGTGGCCCAGCTTTGCCAGACGCGCCCAGCAGGCTCTAATTTCGCAGCGTTTCTTCGAGGCGGGTGTTATTCGGGGCGCCCGGATCGAATCTGCGGAACGCAGAAGTTACCAACTCGTGCTGAGGAGGTTTCAAGGCGCGCCCCGCCGAGCGTTGATGCGGTACGACACCAGCGGCTTGCGTGCCTGCGTTGGGCTCCCACGGGCCCCCCTGCAAGCTGCGCACCCAGGGCGCATCTTGCCGAGGTGCATTCTTACCTGTAGCCGAAACTCAACCTCCGCCATCGTGCTTTCGAGACGCAGGAGACCTGCGTCTTCCTCCCCCCCTTCTTACCCCCTGCTGGAATGTGCGCGCGAAGGATGACAGGCAGAGCACCTTCGATACCCTCACGTCCAGCGTCTCGCAGGTTCTAGTTGCCTGGTTGCCCTTCCCCCCAGATCTTGAGGCAGAGGAGTAGGGAAGGGAAGGGTTGTAACGCTTCAGCGTATCCGTGCTCCACACCGTGCAACGTCAAAAAGGAAGGGGAGGGGAGGAGGAGGAGGAGGAGGAGGAGGAGGAGGTGGTGGAGGTGGAGGAGGAAGAGGAGGAGGAGGAAGAGGAGGAGGAGGAGGAATTGAAGGAGGATGCCGAGGAGGGAAGAGGATGATAATGATGCTGCTGCTGATGTTGATGATGATGATGATGATGAGGAGGAGGAGGAGGAGGAGGTGGAGGTGGAGAGGGGAGGATGAGGATGATGATGAGATGATGATGATGATGATGATGATGATGATGATGATGATGATGATGAGGAGAGGAGGAGGAGGAGGAGGAGGAGGAGGCGGAGGAGGAGGAGAGGAGGAGGATGGACGAGATGGAGGAGGAAGAGGAGGAGTGGAGGTGGGGAGGAGGAGGGAGGAAGGGGGGATGCAGGAGGAGGAGGAGGTGGCAGAGGAGGAAGAGGAGGAGGAAGAGGAGGAAGAGGAGGAGGAGGAGGAGCGAGGTGGAGGCCGACGAGGACGAGAATGAGGGAGGATGGTGGTGGATTCCGATGTGGTTTAGGCCTCGTGCCCTGGTCCTGTGTCGCTTGTCTCGCGCAGGCCAGGGCGTGCTTGCACACGCGCCTGCTGGCCCAAGCTTCGACTCGCGCAGTCGCTTTGCAGAGAAGGGTGAGGAGCAGGAGGAAGAGGAGGAGGAAGAGAAGGAGGAGGAGGAGGAGGAGGAGTTGGAGGAGGAGGAGGAGAAAGAGGAGTTGGGGGAGGAGGAGAAAGAGAGGATTCGAAGGAGGAGGAGGGGAGGAGGAGGAGGAGGAGGAGGGAAGAGGGGGAGGGGAGTGGAGCAAGAGGGGGAGGAGGAGGGGAGGAGGAGGAGGGGAGGAGGAGGAGGAAGAGGAGGAGGAGGACGCAGAGGAGGGGGAGGAGGAGGAAGAGGGGGAGGATGAGGAAGAGGGGGATGAGGAGGAGGAGGAGGAGGAGGAGGAGGAGGAGGAGGAGGATTTTTTGGGGGGGAACAATGACACACAAAGAGTGCTATAGGAATGGCCTCACCCACGAGTGCGCCATCGAAGGGCTGATACCTCGTCTTCGGCAGAGGCAATGCGGAGCCTCAAGATGTCCATTCTCCGCGCATGCTGTAGCGCCTGGGGTCGCAGTTCCCCAGGAGGCCGCACCTTCCTACACCTGTCATAACTCCTTTTGGTTTGGGGTACTGATCCGTGCCGCTGCTGTGACTGGAACAGTTGGCTTAGCTGCCCAGGAGGCGAGGCGGGCTCTCCAGGATCGCTCGACCCTGCCGGGTTCCAACCCTGCACCTTGCGATTGTTTGTGTGGCTATGGACTTGGTATTGGCAGGGCATGCGCAACTGTGAGACGATAGTTGGCTGCTCCCACCCCCCACCGTGCACATCCTGATGGCCATGAGCCATCGCCAGGAAGACCTGGACGGGCAGCGCGAACGCTGGGCAGAAGTATGCACACCTTGTCCTGTATCTCACCACCCTGCGCTGAAGACTGCACTGAGGCTCTGGCCCGTCGCACCGTCAGGGCAGGCGACCCTTCGCTACCCCACGGGCCGCTGTCTCTCTCTCTCTCTTTGTCTCTCTCTCGTTTTCTCTCTCTCTCTCTATATCTATATATTGTTTTTGGTTTCTCTTTCTCTCTCTCTCTCTCTCTTTCTCATGGGCCACTCTATTGCAGACTCCTCTCCACCAGCGTGAGGACTGCAGGGCGATCGACCTGTAAACCAGTGGCCGAGGTCGCGGACGGGGTTGTCAGCCCCGAGTTACGGAGACCCCCAGGTGGCGATGCTGCAACCAATCCCTTGGCACGCAGATCACGTCAAGCCTAGTTCTCACGACTCCAACGTTCGAACCAGCATTTACGGAAGGATTTGACACTTCGGATCACCATGGAAATGGGAGTCGACGTTTACAGCGCGGCGGGCGAGGAAGCCGAGGCCAGCAACGTTCACGAGTACAATGGGCACTTGTTGGCAAGCGGCCCGACGCCTCTCTCAATATGTTGCTGTTGAGCATGGGTGCAAATGCCGTTCCTAAGAAGCAGGCCGTCGACGAGATTATCCAGCAGGTGCCTGTGCCGATTCCTGGCCAGAGGCCCCGAACACTTTCAGTGAGTACGCCACGACGGTGAAATCCTGGACTATCCCCTTCATTGCGATGCGTTCACTGTTCAAGACGTTTGGGGTGGACGTCGCTGCACTCTTGTTCGCCAGATCTCCGTTCTCCAAACGGTGCGTGTATGAAAAACGGTGCTTCACTTGGTTTCTAATTCTAGGATTGGCCTGCTCTTCCAGGTTTCCGCCTGGTTCCCGCCCGTGCCTGCCTCGTGACTGCCCCGTGCTTTCGCTGGCTCTCATGGGTTTTCGCCCGTGTCCGCCTTGAGCTCCTTCGTGCCTGCCGGCTGGCGTTTGCGGATGAACGCGTCGAGTAACGAGCGTAGTTTGCAGCACGATTTTTTCGCACGGTTCGCAACGCATACGTTTTTTTCTCTCCCAAAGAACAATGATGTCCACCCGCTTCCCGAGCAGGGACCTCTCGGGGATCTTTGGAAAATTGCAATGTTGATTCTGCCTCGTCCTCCGTTTTCTATAAGAACCCAGACCATCCCAGCTGACTGGGCATCCCCTGTTTTGTTCCTGTCAAACAATCGAATCATACTATGAGCGCAGAGCCGGGCATCTAAAGAACATCTTTTTGCGATAACCCCTTGCCAAACAAACACCATCAAGTCCAAACGCGCGCACATGTCGAAATCTGACCCAACACATTAGTTTTGCAAGCGCTTCAAGCATCTTGCAGATCTTCTGTCCGCACGCATTTTGCTGAAAAATCATGATCAAGCCAGATTGGTACCGCCAATATCCATACCACCACGCAGTGCATTCGCGTTGATCCAGCATGCACGGAAAACACGAACCAGTATTTGATCAAAACCGAACGTCACTCAAAACCATAGGGTCCCGATGCGTTTCCAGATATGGCCATTCAAACACATATGCAACCATTCTCTTCCAACAGCAAGCTTACCACGTGTATCGAATGTCTGCGCGCGCTCACTTCCTCACGATCACCCGCAGTGGCACATCCGCATCAACGCCGCCGCCGTCGTCATCGACAATCGCCGCAACCGTCGCTATCATCAGCCAATCACCGTCGCCACCAGCATAGGCGCCGTGATTGGCCTTGCCGTCGTCATCGCCATCATCGCCACCGACCACCATCGCTGTGATCACCATCGTTGCCGCCGTTGTCGACGTCATCGTGTCATCACCGAACTGCGCTGAAGCGCCTGCGCGCCAGCACGGCCTTTGAGACGCGCTGGCGCGCGGGCACCTCAGCGGCCCGGCGCTGCGGAGGGCGCCGGATTGCGGCCAGAGGCAACGTGAGGGGGGGATCAGCCGTGGCGACGAGAACTATCCAGGATGAGCAGCGGTATCGGTATCGTTCCCAGAGATCAGAGATCCAACGTATTGGAAAGATGGGAGGTATTTCATTGCTTTGGCGACTAGAGGCCTTCGCTGGGCCCCTGGACCGTCAAGAAACGATTCAGGATGAAAAACTGGTCCCAGGGCTTCTTCGCGTGATTGCCCCGCGACCCTCACATATCGATCTGGCTCCATGCATACAGCAGAAAGATTTGGGTACGGGGTCCTGGTCGTGACTTCGCACGAGGTTGTAGTTAACCTTGTCGTGCCATCCTACCTCAGGGTTAGGGGGGGATCGGCCGTGGCAACGGGAACGATCCAGGATTAACAGCGGTATCAGTTTCCTTTCCTCCGGTAGTAAATCATGAGAGCCTCGTAGGTCCTTGGAAACCATCATTTGAGTGCACTAGCGTTCGCGAACGTCATGTAATTGATGAGGACGCGCCGATCTAGCGTCGATTTAACGTCAATTCGCCTCGATTGGCGTCGATTCGCGTCGGCCGACCTCGACTCGCAAGAGCCAGCGAGATGACATCGGAGACCCACATGACTTGTCACCAAATGATCCTCTGATCCTCCCCACCTTTCTTCTCGCTCCTTCGCTGCCAGCAGTCCCCGGGGCTGCTCGTCCCTCCAGGCGAAGGCGAAAGAGGGCCTGGCGCCGTCCTCCTGGCCGGAGCCCCAGCACTGCCGGGGCAGGCAAGTCATAAAGGGCAGCACTCGCAGCCGCAGCACCTGCCGGAAAACCGATCGTCGACCTGCGAGGCGGGGCCCCATCCATGCAGCCAAGACGCCGTAATAAGGACCATTTTGTGCTCAGGAGGGGCTCTGGTTTTCAGGCCGTTCCTTAGATTAGATATATGTCAGGGAGCTGATTCGTGGCCGAGGCTCGCCGTGGCCAGGAACGCCCCGTCGTTATCCAGCGTTCTCAATGGTAGCACAGTGACTGTAGCTATGCATATCCACCCTCGGAAAGTCGACGTCCTGGGACACGGGGGGGGCGGTGGACACGTGCACGTCTTGACGTTTGTGTAAGAAGTTCCCAGGCCCTAGGGTCCGACACTTCAGAGGCTGCTGCAGCATCGCAGACAAACGCGACCTGAGCCCAGGACCCAATCTTTCTGCTGCATGTTTTGTTTAGCCGTATCGAGTTGTGGTGACTCAGAGGGCCGAAAGCAAGCGAAAACGCGCTGAACGAACGAAGTGCAACACTCCGATTTTGAGGGGTAGAAATGCCCCCAGCACGAGCACGTTCTCCTTCTGCAGTGGAGCCGCCCCCTGCCAGGTGGTGACCAGCTTCAAGAACTGGGGCGGGGAGGCCTCGCGGGTGAAAGACAGACATATATCCGTATCCACGGCCTCGGGGGCGGGGCCCCTGGGCGGCAACCCCCCGCGGACACGGGGCGCTTCTTCGCCGATGCCCCGCGCGGGACGCATTCGTGCGACCGCGTATCCGCGGGACCCAGACCGCCTCGGGCAATAAAAACATCATGACGGGAGTTTGTTTTGCTATTTTCAGCCCCCGGGGGCCCCTTGCTGGCCCTCGAGACAGTAAACAAAAGGACTCAGGACGAAAAACCGGTCCAGGGTCGAGACCTCCAGGGGTCGACGCGATGAAAAGATCATGACGTCGGGGGTTTGGGGATCGCGCCTCGGAGTCCCGACCGTGAGGGCGTTGAGATGGATGAGTTCGCCGCTCTTGGAGGTCCCCACGGTGCAGCACGACCTCCACGGGCGCCCCGCGCTCACGGTGGTCCAGGAGCGGCGGACCTCCATCATCCAGCAGGAGCGGCGGACCTCCATCGTCCAGCTCGGCGGATCTCCCTCGGCCATGGCGCGCGGGCGGCGTGCGGTAAGGGGGGCGGCGCGGGGCGATGAGGGTCCAAGGGATCGAGGATGGACGTTTCTGGGCGTTTTCTACCCTTCTTGGGTCTCTGGGGGACAGGGTTTCCTTTTGCTCAGTATCTGGGCGTCCTGGGGGCGCGGTCGTCGGATGACCAACACGAGCGAGCGGCGGCGAAAAACCGGTCGAAGCGCCTCGAGGCCCACGTCACGGAAAAAACACGGCGTCGGGGGTGCAGACGTTGAAAGAAGGACCATTTCTGGCTCATGAGGGACCCCGGTTCTCGGACCGGTCTCATGAAGGATTTCTTCTAGGTCGGGGGGGGCAGGCCTCCCCAATTGGGTCCGAACAGATGGAGTCGGAGGATCGCGCCGCATTGCTGGTGTATCTGCGGTGCGGCTCGATGTGGAACCCGCCCTTCTCCGCGCCAGCGGTACCGATACATCGCCGACGTCGCCCTCACATAGCCGATGCATCGGCGATGCAACGGCGATGCAGTGCGCGATCCTCCTTTTCCGTTTGCTCGCACCCCATCTGTGCGCCGCCTCGGTGCTCTTCGGTCCCTCCCTTTGCTGCCCGTGCCTGCTGTGGCCCTCGCTGCGCCTCTGCCTCGGATTCACCTCCTCGGCCCCCCATCGCCGCTGTGCGACTCTGCCTGGGCAAAGGCGCTCGACTCTGACCCACGTCCAGAGACAAGAACCGATCTGCGCGCCGCCGAGGTGCGGCGACCCTCGTGGACTGGGCACGGCGGCACTACCGCGGACCGTCCGACGAGCGGCGGCGGCGTCAGCGTCAGCCACATCGCCGCCGACCTGGACCTCTCGCCGGTCGTCGGGCGCCGCGCGGCGAGCAGGGGACCCTCGTCGCGCCCCGCCAGCACCAGGACCGGCCGCTTCTTCCAGGGCGCCGGCACGGTGGAGGAGCGCGGCCCCCCCTCCGACGCGCCAGAGGGGCTCGCGCGGTCTTCCGTCTCGTGGTGCTCTGCTGCAGGAGGTGTCTTCTTCCTGGCCTCCACGAGGTCCATGTCGGCCTCCTCGGCGCGATTCGGAGTCGGCTCTGGCCGGCCCGATCCGATCCGATTCCGATACTCCGACGATCTCCGATGCAGCCCGATGCTCGCACGGCGTTGTTGTGCATGCTTGAGCAACCGATCCGATGTTGTTTGGTTTCGATGTTTCGCGCGTTTGCGGCCAAATCCGGCGCACTTTTACCATCCAGAGGGGGGCTCAGCAGAGAGAACTGGTGACAAACAAAGTGAGGAAGAACCAGTGGAGGAGGAGGAGGAGGAGGAGGAGGAGGGGGAGGGGGAGGAGGAGGAGGAGTAGGAGAAGCAGGAGGAGGAGGAGGAGGCAGAGGAGGAGGAGGAGGAGGAGGAGGAGGAGGAGGAGGAGGAGGAGGAGGAGGAGGAGGGAAGAAGGCAAGCAGCGAGCACAGCGGCTGCTCAGGGCAGCCATCGGGCCCGCTCCAACGCTGGTTTGACTCAGCCCGTTGTCCTGGCTCGGTGCCGACTCATCCTGGCTTCGGAGGGGGCCTCTCGCCACAGCAAGGCTCCGGCAGTCGGCGGTCCGGCCTTGATGGTGTCAGTTCGGGGTGCAGGAGGGTTTTCGCGGAAGGTTTCGGGAGGGTCTCGGTTGTCTTGAAAGGAAATCAGTCCTTAGCGATCCGTGGACTTTCGAAGGCTAGGACGAGGATGCGTCCTTTCCCGGGCGTTCCGATGCCGCGGGGTCTCAGAGATTCTCGATGTATCCTCACCTGAACTTGTCCTCGTCCTGGCTGCGTCTTGTCTCTTAGGGGCAGCGCCCGGGAGGGGGATAGTCGGAGGAGGAAACGGTACTCTTACCGCCACCCTTCCCATGTGACCCCCTTTTTGGAATTCGTGGGAGGCCCTCGTCGCCACGACTTGATTCGCCTCGACATGCTGGCCAGAACGCACCCCCGCAGAGGCCTGGGGAGGTACCTGCTGGTTTCCACAGGCAGTCTCACGGGGGAGGCGCATTGCGACGCCACCTCGCCCATGGATCGCCCGAGGGGGGCCCGATGGTCCACACCCCGCCCAGGCGCGTGCGCATTCGCGAAAGGGGGCCGATCGTCGGTCTCTCTCGACGATGCGACGCCGATTCCAGGTCGACGAGTACCCCCCTGGGCTGGAGGGTTTCTCCGAAGGGCTTGGTCGACCCGTCCTCCTCCTCCTCCTCCTCCTCCTCCTCCCTCCTCCTCCTCACGCCTCCTCCTCCTCCTCCTCCTCCTCCTCCTCCTTCTCCTACCTCCTCCTCCTCCTCCGCCTCCTCCTCCTCCCCTCCTCCTCCTCCTCCTCCTCCTCATCATCATCGTCATCATCATCTTCATCATCTTCATCATCATCATCATCATCATCATCATCATCATCATCATCATCATCATCATCATCATCATCATCATCATCATCATCATTATTATCATTATCATTATCATTATCATCATCATCATCATCATCATCATCATCATCATCATCATGAGCAGCAGCAGCAGCAGCAGCATCATCATCATCATCAGCAGCATCATCATCATCGCCCTCCGCTTACTCCTCCTCCTCCTCCTCCTCCTCCTCCTCCTTCTCCTCGGGTCGCCTACGGCCCCGGGGGCAACCGTGCACCCTGGGCCAGCTCCCTCCTGACATTCTCCCACATGGCCTCGGGAGGGACGTTCCCACGCCCAGCCGCGCGCGGCTCGGGCAGTCGGCGATCGGTCGGGATGGGGTCTGGGAGGGGTGCGGGGACGGGTCTCGGTCGTGATTTGACCGGGGGAGGATCTCGGGCGGGACCTGGTGGTGGTCGTTCTTTTGTTCATTGTTTTGTCGATCGGCGCGGGCCCTCGCACCCCCCTCCCCCCCCATGGAGTGGATCTGGGCTGCTTTGGGCGCCTGTTCCAGGCAGGCGGGGTCCCTCCTCTACAGGACGCACGGTTGCAAACAGTCGCACTAAGCAGAGGTCCGGAGCCAGACCCCCCCCCCTCCCCCCTCTTCCGCCAACTGTCGAAAACGCCGAAAAAGAAAATCCCATTTGCCTTTGCGGCTTGGCGAGCTCTCCCCCGGCATGGACGGTCTTGCTGCGACCACCGATGGTCTCGGCGCGTCGCCACCGTCAGGCCACGCGCAGGGCCGGGGCTCCTGACATATGATGGGCTCTGTCGCCAAGCGCACCACATGCCCTGCCGTTCCCTGGCGCCGTAGCCCTCCTTGTCCCGCCGATGCCGTAGTTTTCTCCGCGACAGGGGCTCGTGGAGCTCTCGGCCACATCTCTGGGACCTTTTCGTCGCGTTCCGTTGTGTCTCAGGCCTCAGCGCTTTAGATCGGCCCCTGCACGCCGCTCGTGGAGCTCTCGGCCACATCTCCGGGACATTTTCGTCGCGTGCCGCTGTGTCTCAGGCCTCACAGCGCTTTAGATCGGCCCCTGCACGCCATTCGCTATGTCCACCATCGCGACGCCGCAGACGGTAGCAATAGAAAAGCGCGCATCGTCGATGCGCCTCCATTCGTGGTCCGACTTCGATCCCACTGCATCGCCGAGGAGCGTTCCTGGAATGGCCACGCCTTCACAGGGAATTCGAAAGTTGACGTCGCTTCCTCGGCGGAAGGCCAGCGGAGGCGGCTGGAGGCCAAACGGGGGCGGCCCGTGCGGCTGAGGCGGGCAGAAGGCCCAAGTGCCCCCCCACCCCAGAGATGTCAATGTTTTTTGGGTGCAGGGCCTCCGGGAGCCGCCACGCGTCTGGGACAGCAAAGTGACCGCGAGATTCTGCTCGCGACCAACACCGCACACAGCATGGTAGACTCGAGGGCGTGGGGCGTTCAACAGCAGCCGTGCACGACGCTGCAGGCGACGGTCCGCGAGCCTTACAGTCGAACCGCACAGCAAGCTTGGGCAACATTCCCAAAGAGGTCCGTGCAACCTTGCCTCGGTCCATTGTTGTTCACTCTCGTGTTGGCCGCTGGAGGTCTGGGGGGGCCGGGCCCAGGGGAGTCCTCGGGAATTCGGGGGACCGCGTATTGAAAAAATCAACGTGGTCCTTCGTCTCCTACCTGCCCTTTGTGGCCGCGCCCCGCTCGAGAAGCTTCGAGATGGGCGTCCAAGGCAATCTGCAACTTCATCACGCATCCCTATGGTACGGGCTGACTGTAGCATCTTTCGGTGCGGCTCCCAGCCTGGGCCCCCCCGCCCGCGGTCCTCCTCCCCCTCCTCCTCCCCCTCCTCCTCCCCCTCCTCCTCCGCCTCCTCCTCCTCCTCCTCCCCCTCCTCCTCCTCCTCCTCCGCCTCCTCCTCCTCCTCCTCCTCCTACTCGCAGGACATGCCCGACCTCGCGCCCGTGGCCCTGGGCATCGGAGGGGGAGACCCTCCCATGGTGCGCGGGACCCGGGCGGCGCTCGCCGCAACGGGCACCACGCTGGAGCTGGGACGCGGCGGCGCGGTGGAGGCCCAGGCGCTCCCCGCCCCACCTCGAGGGCGAGGAGGTCTGGCCTCTCTCGCCTCTGTGCGCCTCCTCCTCCTCCTCCTCCTCCTCCTCCTCCTCCTCCTCTGCGCCTCTTCCCCCTCCGAGTCCTGGTCCTTCCCCTCCATCCTCTCCTCCTGCTGCTCCCATCCTCTTCTCCCTGTCCCGTCCCCCAGTCCCGTCCTCCCTTCCCGCCTCCCCCAATCTCGTCCTCCTGCTGCCTGCTGCTGCTGCTGCCCCTCCTCGTCGGCGTCGTCGTCGTCCTCCTCCTCCTCCTGCTCCTGGTGCTCCTCCTCCTCTTCCTCCTCCTCGTCCTCCATACATGTCCGCTGGTCCGCATTCGGTAGGCGGTTCGGCTCCCGCGGATTCCAGGGAGTCCGCGAGCGTACCGCCGATTCTGGTGGACGACTGGTCTCTTGGACAAACGTGTGGATGTGTCCAGGCTCTGAGACCCGAGTATTGCAAGGATCTGGCGAGGCGGTGCAATTAGCTCGGGTGGGCGGCCAGGTCCCCAGGATGCCTTGTCCAGGTCTTGGTGGACGTTCCTGGTTGATTCTGTTGAGCGGCCTGAGGTCAGGGTAAGAGAACGTACGGGGAGCATGGCGATTAGGGATATCATAGAGAGCACAGAGAATAGGAAGAGTAGACAGAGCAGAGAGCACAGAGAGACTCGAGACATAGACAGAGTAGATAGAAGCGGATCGCAGAGTTCGGAAAGCCGAGAGTGCAGCGTAGAGATCAGAGAGTTGAGAGTCGAGAGTAGCGGGAGGACATCAAACATTCGGGCCTTGCTGAATTCGTGGCAGCCCAAAAATCAATCAAACAGACCTCGCCTAAGCTCCAAGAAGCAGTCCAATCGATCGCCGAGTCCACGGGTCCCCGGTCGTCGCCCCGTCAGGTCGGGTTCTGTCTGACTGCCAATTCCCCTTTTTGGCCGATGCGGTGCCCTGCTCGCGACGTGGGTCCCAGGCCCGCGAATGATGGGAAACCCTGGGAAACCCAAATATCCTCGCTGAGCGCCTCATTCCGAGTGTCCGGGGGGGGCCTTCCCGTAGCCATGGGAATCCATAGCCAGCCTATTCCCGCGCGGCCTCTCTCGAGTCCTCCCCGAGCCCCCCCATGGCATCCGCTGTTTGCCAGATTCGCTCGCCCAAGTTTTGGGAAACTGCTGAATCCTGGGAAAGCAGGCGTTCCGCGAGGGTCTCCAGGTTACCCAGTAAATCAAAATTCTGGAAAGCCCAAGGGCTCTCGCTGAGTCCCCATCTTGTGATGATGTCCCATGGCTCGCTGGAGAGAATTCCTGGACCCCTGGCCGCTCCAGGCCCCCCCCCAAGTCGCCCCCGGTGCCCCCTGGGCTTCCCGGGCCTCTCCAGCCGCCCCCTCCCTTTTACACTGTCATGTGCGCTGGAATGCGAGAACGTACTCGCATCGGGCCCAGGGAGGGTGCACGTTTCGACCGTGGGGGGCGAGCTGTGGGAAGACCGAAGGCCCTCGCTGGATGCCCATGTCCCGAGGGCCGATGGCTTTCCCACAGTTTGCCCCCCGAGCGTCGGGGCCTCGGTCCCCGCGGGTGCGGGGGGAGTTCGAAGCAGATCCAGTGGAGACCTCGCGGCTCCCCGGGGGGGGGGGGGGGGGCGAAGTGCGCAGCCGTCGCCACTTTCGTGGGCTCCTGGCAGGCACGGCGGAGTTGGGGAGTGCGGTCGGGGTGGATTAGTGGGTCGACCCTGGCAAATCGAGGGTACCCTCGTGCCCTCTGTTTCGCGACCCACGCCTTCTACATTCCTGTGGCAAACTGGCCCTCGGAATGGTCTTGTGTACTCTCGCGTGTCCTCTCCAATCAGCCCCCTCGAGGCTCCCTGGCTTCCTGGGGGCTGCGAATCGCGCAGCTGTCGCCACTTTAGTGGGCTTTTGGGAGGCCGAGCGGAGCGGGGGTATACGCAGGTCAGGATTTTATGGATCGCGCGTCGACGGGGCTCGAGAGACGGGCGCTGGAGCTTGCAGGATCCTGCAGAGCCAGGGTTGCATGGACCCGGGCTTGGGAGCTGCAGGATTTTGCAGGACCCTGCGAAGCCCGACTGACCCGGGTCTGGATGGACCCGGGCCAGTAGACCTGCTTGGCACGGGGACGGAACGCGCACTTACTTTCAGAGCGCACGGGATCGCTGGCTCGTCCGCTGTTACCCCTCTTATTGACTCCCTTCCCCTCGCTCTTGTCCTATCTCAGCCTCGGAGAGTCGCGGAGCTTTCTTTGAGCGCGTTTCTTGTTTTGGAGGGGGCGGTCGGGTCGCGTTGCGTTTTCCGCGTTTGGGCTGCCAGCTTTCCAGAACCCCGCGTTGTCCTTGCGTGGACCGCTCGTTGTCCACGCGTTGCCGCCCGTCCCTGTGCCCTGGCGTCAAGAACTTTTTCCGCCGCAGCTCTCTGTTGGGAGCTTTGGTCTTATCAGCTCGATTACGTCACCGCTCGCTCTTGGGAGCCGCGGTGCTAAGAGCCTTTGGGAGTATTTGGGGCCTCTTGGGGGGCTCTTGGGGGGCCTCTTGGGTGCCTCTAGGGGACCTTTTTGGGTTTTTCGGGGGCCTCTGGGGGCCTCCTAGGAGCTTCTGGGCTGCGGGGGTGAAGGGACTAGGCTGCCTTTGGCCGTCTTTGGGCTCTCTTGGGGGCATCTTGGGGCCTTCTTGGGGCCGTCCTGGGGCCGTCTTGGGCTGTCTTGGCGCCTCTCAGGCCGTCTTGGCGCCCTCTGGGGCCGTTTGGGGGCCTTCTTGGGGGCCTCTTGGGCCTTCTTGGGGCGCTCTTGGGGGCCTCTTGGGCAGTCTTGGACGCCTCTTGGCCCGTCTTGGCGCCCTCTTGGGTTATTTCGGGGGCCTCTTGGGAACAGGGCGGTCTTGGGTGCCTCTTGGACCGTCTTCAACGCCATGAAAGGCGAAAAGCCGTATATGCTAAAACTGCACGTTTTCCTCAAGACAATCAATGATTTTGCCCTCTTGGGGCGCCTCGTGGGCGCCTCCTGGGGCGTCGTGGAGGCATCTTGGGACGTCTTGGGGCCGCCTGGGGCGGTCTTGGGCTCTCTTGGAGCGCTCTTGGGCCGTCTTGGGCGCTTCTTGGGCCGTCTTGGGCCGTCTTGGGCGCCGTCTTGGCTGCTTCTTGGGTTGTCTTAGGCGCCTAAGGCGGCCCAAGAAGCGTTCTCCGATGAGGTCTCGAGCGAAACGCTGATTTTAAGTCCCGAAGGCCGTCCTACTCGATAAAAAAACAAGGCGGGAGGGCAATTAGACTTGCTTGGCACGGGGACGGAACGCGCACTTACTTTCAGAGCGCACGGGATCGCTGGCTCGTCCGCTCTTACACATCTGATTGACTCCCTTCCCCTCGCTCTTGTCCTATCTCAGCCTCGGAGAGTCGCGGAGCTTTCTTTGAGCGCGTGTCTTGTTTTGGAGGTGGCAAATGTCATACCTCGTTGTTGGCATCTCTTGCACTGTGACACCGAAGCCGTTTCGATTCGAACCAGCGGCAGAAAATCAGTTGTGATGGTAGCGGAGCCGGATGGTTCCACGGCGTAAACGCAACAGGCGCGGGAAGCGCTCAAAGGCTCGCCGAGACTCGCGGGAGGCGAGGGGCGAGCAGCGGCGCGCGGCAGCGACGCTGCGGCGGCTGCGGGAGAGGAGAGCACGCCGGGCTGCGCGCGACCTCGCTGCGGGTAGCACCGCGCGAGAGGACGCGTCAGACCACCCCGCTGCGGGTAGCCCCGCGCGGGAGGATCCTGCTGCGGGTAGCCCCGCGCAGGAGGAGGCGGTCGACGATCCCGCTGCGGGTAGCCCCGCGTGGGACGAGACCGAGGAGGAGGTTGAGGACAGGTTCCAATAGGAGCCATGGAGGCAGCCATGCAACAGATGGCTGAGACAGTGCGGCAGCTGCAGGCGCGCCAGCAGCAGCTGGAAAGTGAGTTGCAGCAGGCGCGGACGGAGGCGGCAGCAGGCCGCGGGGCGGCCGCTTCTGGGGACGCAGGAGGTCAGGCGCCGAGGGCGCAGGCCTCTGCGAGCGTGGGGGTGGACACCAGGCTGCTAGGCAAGCCCAGCGACTTCTCCGGGGAGAAGACCGCGTGGCGGGACTGGAGCGCTGTCTTCCGGGGCTACGCTGGGGCGGCAGTCCCACGGCTCGCGTCGTTGATGAAGTCGGATGCCGACTCGACCGATCCAGTGCCAAACGTGACACTGACTGATCAAACGGACGCTCAAGCCAGTGCTCAGCTCTATTGGATGTTGCTCATGCTGTGCAAAGGTGCGGCGCTCAACATCGTTCTCCTCGCGGGGGACAACGAGGGGCTAGAAGCATGGCGGAAGCTAGTGGACGAGCACGAGCCCAAGATGCGGACGCGATTCGCTGGGCAATTGATGAACGTCCTCTCCTTCTCGCTGCAGGGTGACATCCCTGAGCGCATCACGGCGTGGGAACGTGAGATCGCCGTTTATGAGCGGGACTCGAAGAAGACCCTCGACGACGAGGTCAAAATCGGGACGTTTTTGCTGCGTCTCCCCGAATCGCCTCTCAAGACCCACCTCTTGATGAGGGTGGACCAGCTGACGAGGTGGATCGATTTCCGGGCGGAAGTCGTAGCCATCAGCAGGTCGATCGCCATTGCGCAGGCTCAGCCGGTGCCGATGGACATCGGCGCCGTCGCCAAGGGAGACGGTCGTGGCAGGCCTGGCGGTGGTGCCAGGGGCACGGGCCGCGGCGGCCAGCACCAGCAGCAGCACGCATGTCCAAGGTGCGGCGCAAAATCGCACACGAAGGCGGACTGCCCGCACAAGGACAAGACCTGCAACAAGTGTGGCAAAACTGGCCACGTCGCAAGTGCGTGCAAAGCGCCAGGAGGCGCACAACATCATCAACCACATCGTCAACCTCACCCCCATCCTCCTCAGCAGCAGCAGCAAGGACGAGGAGGAGGAGGAGGAGGAGGAGGACCGAAAGGTAGAGGGAAGGGCAAGGACCGGGCGTGCTACAACTGCGGCCAGCCCGGGCGCCTGGCTGCCCAGTGCCCCAGGCCGAAGGTCCACTCGGTGGAAGACGGCGGAAACGCGGAAGCCGCGGAGGTAGCAGCGGCTGCGGGCTACTTCGACATCGGCGCCGTCGGCGTTGACACCGAGGGCGGCCTGAAGAGTACAGGAGGGACGCGGGTAGCCCCGCTCCCTGGCCCATCGGCTTCGGACGCGGGTAGCCCCGCTCTGAACGCCGTGGGAGGGCCGCGCGTCGAGCCAGGCGAGTGGCTCGACATCGAGGTGGATTCCGGCGCGGAGGTCAGCTGCCTCCCGGTAGGCGTCGGAGCTGGCTCGTACCCCCTCCACCCGACGAGGCTCAGCCAGAGCGGGGGGTACTACGTGGCAGCTGGGGGCGGCCGGCTGTATGACCAGGGCGCGCGGATCCTCGGGCTGGAGGCGGACGACGCCCACGGCCAGGCGGTCAACCTCGTCGTGCGTTTCCGCGTCATGGACATCGCCAAGGCGTCGTTGGCGACGGACGACCTGAGCAGGTGCCAGTGGGAGACGGTGTTCCCTGCTGACGGCGGCGGGGCCTACATCCTCCGGAGAGCCTCCGGGACTCGCATCAACCTCGTGCGGAAGCGACGGGCCTGGTACTTGAGGGTACGCCTGAAGCCACACGAGGACTTGCCGTTCACCTCGGCGCAGGAGCTGTCCGAGGTCGCGTCGATGGAGGACCGAGGGATTTACCCTCTCGACGCGGACGTTGGGACGGAGGCTGAGGAGGGAGCACCAGTCAAGAAAATGGTGGTTCCCACTCGGCCGACGGCGGCTGAGCGTGAGGAGCACATCGCAGGTGGCCACGCGGTCTTCCGCACCTGGTGCCGGGAGTGCTGCGTCGGGCGTGGCCGGATGCACCACCACACCTCTGGCGGCCCAGAGGTCAGCATCCCGGTGGGAGGTTGCGACTGCGGCTACTTGAACGACAGGGGCGACGACGCCCAGGGTCAGCCGAACGCGCCCCTACTGCGCAGCAGGTGCACAGGGGATCGTTGGCTAGGAGCCGCAGTGGTCCCAGCGAAGGGGGCCGACGAGTACGCGGTGAAAGAGCTGAAAAGCGATGTCGTGGGCAGCGGCTTCGACGAGGTTATCCTCAGGAGCGACGGCGAGGCGTCCATCGTGGCGCTGAAGACGTCGGTTGCGGCGGCGCTCAAGCTCGAGGGCGCGCGCGTGAAGCTGGAGGAGTCCGCCGGGTACGACTCGCAGGGCAACGGCCTCGCAGAGGCCGCCGTGCGCGAGGTGAAAGACGCCGTGCGGACCAATCTGGCGTGCCTGACGGTGCGGTACGGCCAGAGCTTCGACGGACAGCACCCCATCATCCCTTGGTTGGTGAAGTATTCGGTTGCGATGATCAATCGCGTGCGCCGCGGGGCCGATGGCAAGACGGCCTTCGAGCTTCGCAAGGGGCGCGGTTTCGCTAGAGTCCTTCCGGCTTTTGGAGAGAAGGTGCTCTTCATGATCCCAGGTGTGACCAAGGCTCCGGCCCGGGTCGAGCCTCGCTGGGAGGATGGCGTGTTCTTGGGCCTGTCTGATCGGAGCGACGAGCTCTACGTAGGCACATCCAGGGGCATGCACAAAGTGAGGGCGGCGCGAAGGCGCGAGGCGACGGAGCGTTACGACGTGGCGTTCCTGAACACCGTCACTGCTCGTCCGTGGGACGGGCCACGGAGCTTGAGGGCTCCAACGCGAGTCATTTTACCTGACTTGCCAGCTCCGGCGGTGGATGCCGAGGAGGCGCCTACGGCGACCCGCCGGGTTTACCTCTTGAAGGAGGACTTCGTGAAGCATGGGGTCACGCAGGGATGCCCTGGCTGCAGGGCGATCGCCGAGAATAAGCGGGCGCAGATGCATTCCGAGGAGTGCAGGATGCGCCTGGAGACCGAATTGGCCAAGACAGAAGCGGGCCGGCAGCGGCTCATGAAGGCCTTTTGGAGGGCTATGTCTGCGGGGCAGGCCCAGGAGGCGCGTGAGGAGGGCACGGGAGCGACTACAGCGGCTACGGCGGCTACAGCGGCTCCGGCGGCGGCTTCATCCTCAGGCGCGGGAGGCACGGGAACGACTACAGCGGCTACGGCGGCTACAGCGGCTCCGGCGGCGGCCTCGGGCGCGGGGGGCACGAGAGCGACTGCAGCGGCTGCGGCGGCTACAGCGGCTCCGGCGGCAGCCTCAGGAGTTCCTGCTGCGGCAGGGGCGTCTGGCGCAGCGGCGCCGCCTGCCCAGGACCCAACCCTGGCGGACCGCGACGGTTCTGAGATGGACACGAGTCCGCCGAGTAGGAAGAGGCAGATCGAGATCCAGGCGCGCGGAGCGGAGGGCGACATGGACACTGCGATGGTGGCCGCAAGCGGTCTGCATGCGGACGCCGTGGCGCTCGTGGAGGCGTATTCTCTGGCGCGCCCGCAGCGCAAGGCCGGCGCTTTCGGCTTGCACGCTGGCGTGGCCATGGATTTGCGTTTGGGCTGGGACCTGGGGCGCGACGACGAGCAGCAGGAGGCGCAGGGGCGGCTGGACTTGGAGAAGCCGTACTTGCTTGTCCTCGGTCCAATGTGGTTGGACCCATCTCAGCTTCACGAGCTATCGGCGCACCTTCGGAGGTTGCAGGAGTTGTTGGAGACGGGCCGCAAGCACCTCGAGTTCGCGTGCGCGTTGGCGCGGCAGCAGGTTGCCAGGGGCGGCCGGGTGCTCTTCGAACTCCCCTGGGAGGCAGCCTCGTGGAGCGAGGAGTGCATCGTCGAGATGTTGGCGACGAGCGGTGTGCAGCGCGTGCGATGCGACCAGTGCCTCTTCGGCCAGGTTTCGGTGGATGGATCTGGCCAGGTGGGGCCAGCTCGTAGGGCGACCGGGTTCATCACGAACGACCCGTTCATCGCTCGAGCCGTGGCGCGACGGTGCCATGGAGGGCGCGAGCACGTGCAGTCGCTCGGAGCCCGGGCGAAGACGTGCGAGAAGTATCCGCCCCTCTTGGTGGCGGAGATCCTTCGAGCTTTGAGGAGCTCGATGCGCGCTGCTGGAGGCGGCGCGGCGGAGAGGATGCTCGGCAACGACCGCGATGGAGGCCGGGCCTGTCCTGGAGGAGCCGGAGCTCTTGGCGAGGCCGGCGACGACAGAGGAGGAGAAAGTATTCCGCGACCGATGCACGGGGCCCCCATTAGATCCTGAGCGAGTGCGAAGCGCAAGGGCAGAGGAGATGAGGTACATGGAGGAGTTGAAGGTTTTAGAGTTGAGTGACCACGAGACGTGCATACAGGAGACTGGTTCACCTCCGATTCCAACTGATTGGGTCGACATCGACAAGGGCGACCCCTCTCGACCGAACTATCGGTCGCGGCTCGTGGCACAGGAGACGCGCAGACGGACGACCATCGACGTGGACGATTGGGCAGCGACGTTCGCTGCGACCCCTCCGTATGATGTTTTTCGTCTGCAGCTCAGCTTACTCATGACGTATCCGAGGCCTGAGAATCCTAACGATGAGGAGGTGTTGATGTTGTTGGACATTTCACGTGCACATCTCCATTCACCCTTGAACCGGGTGGTTTTCGTGAGGATCGACGGCCGGGTCTACAGGCTGCTGAAGGCCATGTATGGCTTGAGGGATGCAGGCGCGTCTTTCGACAGGAAGACCGAATCCACCATGAACGTCATGGGCGTGACCTTGGGGAAGTTCAGCGTCTGCTTGGGCTACCGTAGGTCTGGCGACTCCGTTGTTCGGAGCGTGCGGTGGGGCGACGACTTCTCCTTGAGTGGTAAGAGGTTGCACTGCGCGGAGTTCCGGGACGAGCTCGGCAAGCACCTCCTAGTGAAGCATACTGCCACGTTGGGTCCGAACCCAGAGCACGGCGACGTGGGCGAGGCCACCTATTTGAACAGGATCGCGCGGTGGTTCCCCCTCGGCTCGGAGGGCGGCGAGCGGATCGAGCTGGAGGCCGACCCGCGGCACGCCGAGATCTTGGTTCAGCAGCTGGGTCTGGACGAGGAGCGGGCGAAGGCTGTTACGACACCGGGCGTCAAGCCGACCGGCGACGACGACGACGATGACGGACGAGAGCTTGATCCCGAGGCCAGGTCTAATTACAGATCCTGGGCCATGCGTGCGAGTTACCTGGCGCAGGACCGCTGCGAACTGCAGTTCGCGTGCAAGGAGCTCGCCCGGCGCATGCAGGCGCCGCATCAGAAGGACATGCAGGCGCTCAAACGCCTTGGGCGTTTCCTGAAGGGAGCGCCTGGCTGCCTGGTGGTGCACCGGCGGCAGGCTGACCAGACGGTCGTGGACGTGCTCAGCGACAGCGATTGGGCTGGGTGCCGGAAGACCCGGCGCTCGACTTCATCGTCGTACACCATTTTGGGACAGCACCTGATCACGACCAGCAGCACGACGCAGAACGTCGTGGCCACGAGCTCTGGCGAGGCGGAGTTCTACGCCTTGACCAAGAGTGCGAGCCGCGCGATTGGCACCGTTGCCATGGCGGCTGATCTGTTCAAGGTCCTGAAGCCGCGTGTGCGCGTAGACGCCAGCGCGAGCAAGGGCATTGCTTCCCGACGTGGCGTTGGGAAGGCGAGGCACCTCCACACCCAGACCCTCTGGGTGCAGGAGGCCGTGGCCAAGCGGGAGCTGGTCATCGAGAAGGTGCCAGGGAGCGACAACCCAGCTGACATGGGAACGAAGCACTTGGCAGTGCGCGAGATGACGGAATGCTTACGCAGGGCGAGCTGCGTTCTGGCCAGCGGACGGTCGAAGCTGGCGCTGCGGGTCGCCACCGGCACGACGGCTTGAGCCGGCGACCCGCCGTTACGACACGATGGGTGCAGGACGGCATCATCGGCTACGGGCGCTGAGAGCACTGGGACGCGGGCAGCCCCGCTCCCACCCTGGATGCGGGTAGCTCCGCTCCAGGCCCGCCTCGGCGGGCACATGTGCATGTGGCGGCGGCGCTTCCGACCTGAATTGCACGAGTTCGCATTTGGGCGGGTTCGGCAGACGTTGAAGGGGCGTCTTCCCAACCCGAGGGGCGTGGCAAATATCATACCTCGTTGTTGGCATCTCTTGCACTGTGACGCCGAAGCCGTTTCGATTCGAGCCAGCGGCAGAAAATCAGTTGTGAGGAGGGGGCGGTCGGGTCGCGTTGCGTTTTCCGCGTTTGGGCTGCCAGCTTTCCAGAAACCCCGCGTTGTCCTTGCGTGGACCGCTCGTTGTCCACGAGTTGCCGCCCGTCCCTGTGCCCTGGCGTCAAGAACTTGTTACGCCGCATCTCTGTCGGGAGTTTTGGTCTTATCAGCTCGCTTGCGTCACCGCTCGCTCTTGGGAGTCGCGGTGCTAAGAGCCTTTGGGCGTATGTTGGGCCTCTTGGGGGGCTCTTGGGGAGGCTGGTGGGTGCCTCCTGGGGACCTTTTGGGGCTTCTCGGGGGCCTCTTGGGGCCTCCTGGGGGCTTCTGGGTGGCGGGGGTGAAGGGACTAGGCTGCCTTTGGCCGTCTTTGGGCTCTCTTGGGGGCCTCTTGGGGCCTTCTTGAGGCCGTCCTGGGGCCGTCCTGGGCCGTCTTGGCGCTTCTTGGGCCGTCTTGGCGCCCTCTTGGGCCGTTTTTGGGCCCTCTTGGGGGCCTCTTGGGCCTTCTTGGGGCGCTCTTAGGGGCCTCTTGGACAGTCTTGGACGCCTCTTGGCCCGTCTTGGCGCCCTCTTGGGCTATTTCGGGGGCCTCTTGGAAACAGTTTGGGCCGTCTTGGGGCGGTCTTTGGGGCTTCTTGGACCGTCTTCAACGCCATGAAAAGGAAAACGCCGTATATGCTAGACATGTACGTTGTCCTTCAGAAAATCAATGATTTTGGCTTCGTGGGGCCCTCTTGGGGCGCCTCGTGGGCGCCTCCTGGAGCGTCGTGGAGGCATCTTGGGACGTCTTGGGGCCGCCTTGGACGGTCTTGGGCCCTCTTGGAGCGTTCTTGGGCAGTCTTGGGCGCTTCTTGGGCCGTCTTGGGCCGTCTTGGGCGCCGTCTTGGCTGCTTCTTGGGCTGTCTTAGGCGCCTAAGACGGCCCAAGAAGCGCCCAAGAAGCGTTCTCCGATGATGTCTCGAGCGAACCGCGGTTTTTAAGCCCCGAAGGCCGTCCTACCTTATAAACAACGAGGCGGGAGGGCTATTTTGGGGGCCTCTTGGCAACATCTTGGGCCGTCTTGGGGCGGTCTTGGGGGCCTCTTCGACCGCCTTCAACGCCATGAAAGGCGAAAAGGCGTATATGCTAAAATCGCACGTTTTCCTTCAGACAATCGATGGTTGTGGCTTCTTCAGGCCCTCTTGGGGCGCCTCGTGGACGCCTCGTGGGGCGTCGTGGAGGCCTCTTGGGACGTCTTGGGGCCGCGTTGGGCGGTCTGGGGCTCTCTTGGAGCGCTCTGAGGCAGTCTTGGGCGTTTCTTGGGCTGTCTTGGGCCGTCTTGGGTGCCGTCTTGGCCGCTTCTTGGGTTGTCTTAGGCGCCTAAGACGGCCCAAGAGGCGCCCAAGAAGCGTTCCCCGATGAGGTCTCGAGCGAAACGCTGTTTTTAAGCCCCGAAGGCCGTCCTACTCGATAACAAATGAAGCGGTTGGGGCCTTCTTGGGGCCGTCCTGGCGCTGTCTTGGGCCGTCTTGGCGCCTCTTGGGCCGTCTTGGCGCCCTCTTGGGCAGTTTGGGGGCCTTCTTGGGGGCCTCTTGGGCCTTCTTGGGGCGCTCTTGGGGGTCTCTTGGACAGTCGTGGACGCCTCTTGGCCCGTCTTGGCGCCATCTTGGGCTATTTTAGGGGCCTCGTGACTTTAAGGGTAGCTCTTTGGGAGATGTTGCAGTATCGGGAGTATAGCTCGCGCACCGCTGCCTTGGGCTCAAGGCACGCGCGCCCTATTTGCCCGGACACCGCGAGTGTTCGCTATGTGCTGGAAAGATCATTACATCGATCTTATCCTATCTTATCCGCCCACCCCTCCTACTGTACCTTCACAGCTACAGCAGAGCGATGGACGCTATTTGCCATCCGATGTCCACGGCCAGCGCCTTGGAATCGGATGCTATATGACAGGCTATATGCCCTATTTGAGTTACCGAGCTCACTTTCGACTTGGTAGCGGAGCTGGCCGCGCTCTCGCGTGGTCAGCTCTTGCTCTTCTCAGCCTCACATTCTTCGGCGCGATCTTCGTGACCACCTACTACCCTGCGCCACCACTCCCAGTACATTTACGAGGATCTATTCAAGAGCAAGAAGCTACACGAGAGGCACGACGTCTAGACGACCAGATTGGTACCATATACGCTTCATCATTGCGTTACTATCAACCGCTCGGCAACGAGCCAATAACGCAATACCTGAAGCAAGGGCGGGGGAACCCGCCAGACAGAGCGCCTCGAAGACTCGACAAGGCGCTACCCCAGCGTGACACCGCTCATCATAACCATTCTTCGTTACACATTCTTGGGCTAATCGTTTTCGCTATCATATGGTTCGCGCTGGGGGCAGCAATCGCACACATGCGTCGGGGAGATAACAGCACCGATGGGCAAACACATGGCCCATACTGGGACCCTCAGGGTAATGTACCTTTTCGTGAGTACATTTACGAGGTCAACGCGTGGCTCAACGTTACAAGCGGACGCATGACGCCACAGGCCCAAGCGGCCGCAATACAACGCGGCCTGGGAGGCCTAGCGAGGACACTCGCCATGAGGGTACCGCCTGACATTATAAACTATGGTGCTGACATTGATGGGGTCCACACAGACCCAGTAACTTACATCATGTTCCTCCTCAGCATGAAGTTCGAACGCCTGGAAGATGAGCGACAGCTCACTTCCGGCACACAACTCATCGACTTCCATGTGCCTCACGGGGAACGAATCGATGTCACTCTTACCCGATTCGAAATGGCCCGACTTGAGGCACAGTCGGTGGGATTCGACCTTCCTAACTTCCAACTGCTAACCACTATCCTATTCCGCGCCTTAGGCGTCGGCAACCAGAAAGCCATGCAACTCTTACAGCCACTCAACCACCAAATGCCTCGAACACAACAACAATATGATGAGTTGCTGGAAAGGATGCGTTCGGTAGGCCACCTATCCGAACGATCTCCTGGCAACATAGGATCCGTGTTTGGAAGAGGAAGGGGATCTGGTAGTGGAAATTTCTACACTACCTTGACTACTGAAGCCCAGCCTGGAAACGGGCCCTCAAACATATGGGCCGATGACCCAGGAGAATCCACTGCTTTATTAGCAGGGGATCGATCACAACCAAGCTGGGCAACCAGCCCTCCTTCTAGAGAACCACAACCACACCGCTCGTTATGGGGGGAATCAAATCCCCTAACCGACGGTGTATCCACCTATTTAGGAGACGAAGATTTCGACTCCGGCACCGATACAGACACTATATCATCAGATGGTGTTGAAGCTCTAGATTGGTCAGATATCATGAATATGGATAACGACAATCAGCGTGCTGAGCATTTATTCTGGCTGTTACAACAGGCTAAGCGAAGGTGGAGGAGGTTCACACGAAAACCAGTGCGTCGTGTTAGAAGGAGGATACGCAGAAGTTTTAAAGGAAAGGGTAAAGGCAAGCGTGGTCGTCGGAGGTTGAACGGGCGAGGTATCGCGGCATTTCTCCAGAGGCTCTCAGATGAACAACATGATGAGATATTCTTCGGGGGAAAAGGCCGCGGTAAAGGCCGTAGAGAGACCCCAGGAAAAGGCAAAGGTAGGCGGGGAAACCCGCGAGGTAGAGACGGCCAGGTTCTCAAATGTCATGAGTGTGGTAGTACCGATCATCTTGTGCGAGATTGTCCAGCGAAGGGAAATGGAAAGGGCATGTCGTCCGAAGTCCATTTCGGCTCAAGCACGCCATCCATTGAGTATCTGAGCCTCCAGGACTTTGAGGCTATGGAACAGATATTTTTCACATGGGTCGTTGGCATGGACAACATTGACGAGCTCGAGGGGTATGGTCATGGATTATACGCGTATTACCTCGAGTACGTCCGCCGGTTCGTCACGGGCAGTAATGAACTCACTCCCGTGGAACACGGTACGCTCGGAAACGAGCCTCTTTCCTTCTTCGACTGGATGTTCGGGAACCCAGGCAACATCATGGCCTACGAGAGCGACGGCGAGGACACCACCATAGAGGCTTCGCCTTCCGAGGTTCAACAGAACCTCGAACCTCCGCCCAAAATCCCGCCTGGACACAGGCCTTTTCTGCTGGGAGAATATCCCCATACTATTGAAGACTTAATTGAAATGGAGTCTCAAGCATTTGTTCAGGCCTTCATTGCAGGTGAACCAGGTTCTCCGTTCATACTTCCTGGTTCGCTTGCTCCAGGCGAATATGGACCGCGTACACTTTTGCAGACCCTCATGTGGATGCATGAGATACTTGCAATTGCATATCCTGAGAGTCAAGAACAAATTGAAGCTGGTATTATGACAGATAATGATAATGATGCTTGCGGTAGCTCAGAGCTACTCTTGGCAGCTTTGTCTCTCATTGACAGTATAAATCCTCAGGAAGTGCAACG